GGCGGGGTCCCAGATCATCCAGAATGCAATTTGTTTTTTTTTTTTTTTTGAAAATCAATAAATCTTCCTACATTTTTTTCTTTAATCCCAGATGAGAAAATATTTTTGATTTTCATCCTAAAATTTTGCCTTTCATATAACAGGGATGCGTAGCAAAATCTTTCAAGAAAAAAAAGCACTCAAAAAATATTTTTAAGCACTATATACATTGGCAAAATAATTTTCAAAGACTATACATGATCATGATAAAATAACTAGTTTCTGACAAAGAAATGTTTTCTTGATTATATGAGCCATTAAAAAATTATCAAGAGATTTCTTTCTATCAGAGGGTGGAAAATGAAGAATGAAATTGAGAAATGCAGTAGAATTGCACAAGAGAGTGTAATAATTTAACCAAACCCAGTTCAGTAGAAGCACATGCAAACTCGCAAGTATTGCATCAAACATGTAAAATGATTGGCGCTGTCATAGGCTATGGACAGACTGTAAGCCAAAATGGATTGTGAAAACGTTGAATAGAACAATGTGAAAAGCACTCTTTCACATAATACATGGCGAAAATCGTCATGAAGAAAGAAAAAAATTCATTTTCGAAAAGCACCTTTAAAAACACCCAATGAAAAATATGCACCTTAAAGGGCTTTTAAAATACCAAATTCGAAAATAAACACATTTAAGCATTTTTTTTAAAACGCTACGCACCATGCATAAGGAAATGCTTTCAATATTCTAAAAAAAAATCTTGAAAAATAATTTAGCCATTGAAAAATAATACCCATTTTATAGTCGCTACACGGAAAAATAAAATAAGGACAAAAATAAACGCATCTTAAATATAAAAAAATTTAATGACAACAATGGTATTTGATAGTGCTGACATGAAATAGCAAATAAATGAAACTAAAATATAATACACAACTAAAAGACGTCCAAATCATCAGGGGCATCTAGGTCTCTGTAATTTATCATTTTTCTTGAATCAGAACGAGGACTTCTTCTGCAAATGGAAACAATTAAGACACAATATTTGGAAGAAATAGGATATAATTACAGTAAACATATGATAAACAAGATACAACAACAGGGTATGGAAAAAAATCACTCTAAAAATCAATAACTTAAAAATTCTTTTTATATACACCATCAAAAAGGTTATCAGAGGCATGAACACACAAAAGTTGTATAAAAGTAATTATTTATGAATAATTGAAAATAGTCATAACCATAAAATACGCACAATCGCATAACTTATTGTAAATAAAAATGTATGCATAACCACAAACGCAAAAAAAAAAGATAGATATAAAAATGCACTATTAAATAAAAATATTGCATAGTTCATTGATTAAGAAACTTCCATATTTTTCTTTTAAATCAATAAAGGGAAATCAAATACAAGGCTGCTATAAATTTATAATGTCAGCAATATTTTTTGATTGTTTGATATACTTGAATAATAAATATTAAATTCATTTTGGACATTTGCCTTGTAACTTGTTATTGAATAACATGTAGCCAAAAAATTATCATAATAAAAAATAAATATTTTGAAGCAAAATTTAAAACTACAAATCATTAAAAAAAAATTTCTTTTAAAGGAGTTAATAATTTGTTTCAAAACACATTGGGTAAAAAAACTATTGATTTGGATTTTCTCTGACATATTCCCAATTTTAAAAAATATACAAACATCAGGAGGATTTTAGATTAAACCAGAATGGTTGGCAGCGATATATATATATATATGTATAGAGTAAAATATTGCATAGGTTGCTTGAAATCCATAAGAGACACTATTAAATGGAAAAGCATTCACAGAGAAATTTTAAAAATAGTCCAGATCCTGAGGTGCGTCCACATCGTGGTAGCCAACAAGTTCCCTTGGGTCCAGTCGTGGGCTGCAAGAGACGAAGGAAAGAAACTGTTCGCAAAGATTAAGTTCGCATAAGACAGAAAAAAAGAATTTTATTTTTGTTTTTAAAAATTTTTTGTAATGGCCTGATAGATTTTGAAAAATAATAATAATAAAAAAAAAACTTATTGACGACATTAAATTGGCATGTAGGGAAAAAATTTAATCTGTATATATTATAAAATTCTTTTATCTGGAATTCATAAAAATATAAAAACACTTTTATGAAAGCAACTTAGATTCAAATATTAAATTGTACCAGAAGTTAGCTTACATACATTTTATTCTCGGCCAATCATGAACTCAAAAGCGAGCATTGTCGTAAGGAAACCTACGGGAAAAATTCCTTATATGGAAATTAAAACGTCAGTTCAGATAATAACAAACATTTAAACTTTGCAGAAATAAACTATGTATTCGTTTCAACAAGAGTATACATCAAAACTTAATGTGTAGTTTCTTTTAAACCAAGAAAACTATCAAATGAAACAATTTCAACAATTGCCCTAATTTAAGGTCACTCAAATCTATGAGTCTTATAAAATATTTCATTTTGTCCAATTTTATCGTTTTTAAACAATAAACAAAAATTCAAACAGTTTACTCTTAAAAGCCTGTTGCAATATCTATGTGAATTTTTGTAAGAATTTTAAATTCAAAAGAATGAAAATTTACATGTAAAATGTAAAAAAAAAAGTACATAGCTGATTAAAAAACCAAGACACAGCTGTAACAGAGTTGTAAAATAAAATGAAAAGGAGAAAGTAAAGATTGACAAAAAGAATTTGCAAATGGTACATTTATTAATAAATATCATGTATAATAAACACGATAAGCAATAGCTGAAAAAATAAAGCATACAGCTAAATATATACTAAGAACTAAGTAGAAATCTCTAAACAATTATTTTATTAGTAATGTGGTCAAATCTTGAAAGTACAAACCTCAGTATTACAAAAGTTTTTGTCATGTAAAGAAAAAACTATCCAGTTCAAGTTAAAACTACTTTCGGTCTAAATTCGTAAACAGCTACAACTCTCAGGATGAAAGAATTTGAATTAAATTGTGCTAGCATCAATGTAAACTAGAATAATGCGCAATTTGTACTTGGATAACGTTTATCTTGATAGCAAAGCTGGATATTTAACTTGCGCTAATATGAATCATAATTTTGATTACATGTTTGTCGGGGTACAAATTTTTCTGCTGATTTCTATAAATAATTAGTCTATCTCTAAACCACACTAATTTTCCAAAATACTACGATTTTTGTGAAAATTTTATAGGAATTTTCATTTTTGTTTTTTATTGTAAAACTTACATTTTAATGGCAACTAGTGCTTTCTTGAAGCTACAAATTTTATTTTGATGGTTAGAAAGCAATGGTCAATGCATTACATGTTTAGGGAGGAGAAATGATAGTTTCAGAAATAAGCCGGAGCATTATACGAAACTTTCCTAAGTACCAACACAAAGCTTTGATGATGAAAGATCATTTTCAAAGTACAAAAATGCGTTAAGCGATGAATGCTTATGTTTCTCGCATAAATGAGAATAATTTCATAATAGCTTCAGCACTTTTATTGAATTTAACCATATCTATGTTTTCTAGTGCATATTTAGTACAAGTTTAATGATATTTTTTCCCCTTGCAAAATTTTTCTAATTTTCTAGAATCTTCTGGCAATGTTGGCCCTGTCTTTGCATTCATAATCACAAATTCGAAACAATGTTATGGCAATATATTATTAGGAATTGCAATTAGTGATTCATAAGCTACATTTACATCATTCATAAAGTCTATAACAATCAATTATAGACTTCAGACCTTATGACAGGGTTAAAAATGAAGAATGAATATGTTTGGCCTTAGTGGAACTTAATAATCTTTTCTTAGTCACCAAAAGACTGATTATCTTATGTTAAGTTTTCATGGATGGTCTAATGTAATATCATTATAGATGCAAACCTTACCAAAAGTATGAAGAAAAAAAATGTGATTGTAAATTCTTTATTGGCAGCAGTCACCCAAAAGTTATTTTAAACCATGAAAAAACTTTCAAAAATATTCATTTAGATGGTATGAATTTCCATTTACAGAGTTGCTACTGAAATCTGGAAGGAAAAAAATTTCCTGTTTTCCCCATTACACAAGATATTAAGAAGAAACACACAATCATTGTGCTCTTAAATAAGCTGTATTGGGCTATCTATACTAATTATAATTGCTGAAAAAATTTAGTTATAAAGTCCCTGTATTTTTCAGGTTTTCCCTGTGGACTGGCAACCCTGATTCGGATGATTTAAATTAAAATCAGTTTTTCGGAACCAAACAATGAATATTCACCTAACAAACATGCCAATTTTGTGTAAGAAAAAGTAAGCAGATCCTATTATATTTTTTTCGACTTAGCTTGCTGTCAACAATTTGGAAAAAAATTATAACTGAGCTCATATTTTATGATTAATTCTCAAATCATTCTGCAAAAATTCTTTCGCTTTTGTTAGTCGCTGGCAGCGTAAAAGAGAAGTCACATGCATGCCCAAGGGAAAAGATAAAACGAAAGATCATTGCCGTAAAAATGATAAGTGTGCAAATCGTACTCATAAATAGAAATCTTTAGAAATGAGTACAGCACAAAAAAAAATTTGACGTATGGCTGTAAAATTGAAATTCATTGACATAACATTACAAGTACAAAATACGACTAATTAATTTAAACCTGGCCAAGATGGTAAAATGTGATTTATAAAGAGCATCTGTAAGAATTGCAATTTGATAAATGGATTTTTAAAAATTTTGAGAAATTATAGCTATTAGAAAAATCCATAACATAACAATTAAATTAAAAATACATAACTAAGAAAAATAATCTGCCATGAAAAAAAAAAAAAAAAAAAAAANTTACAAAAAAAAAAAAAAAAAAAAAAGACAAAGAGCAAATTCAACCATTAAAAAATTAGTGAATGAACGTCAATACGCTACATTTACATAGATAGCACAAGACAAAATCAACAGATTTGATATATTTTGGACAGTATACAACAGATAACTTTTTAACCGAGTATTTATTTATTTAAAAAAAAAAAAAAAATNAAAAAAAACAGAAAATAGCGGTATTATACGCATGTCCGTGTTTCTGTAATATAACCTGCAAGTCATAGTCAAATATCATTAGTTAGTAATTCATAACAGAAAAACATTTTACATAAACCAACTTATTCTGTATTAAATTTTTGAGGACTATTCCCTGCAAAACAAATTATGGTCCTGAATAACAACTAATAATGAACCTTATAGAACAATCAACTTATTTTATTGAAACTGGGTAAATTATATCAAAAAATTTTGTGTCAAAAAACATATTTCAAATCTTAATAAATTTGCTTGTCCACTTTTTTACTACCAAATCATTTTTTCCAATCTGTTTTTAGGAGCTAGAATTCATAAAATAACTGTGAATTTTATGAAAAGCTTTAATCCTTAGAATTTTAGTTGAAAATTGAAGGGAGGAAAAAAAATAATAAATTACCAAACTGAATATATAATAGAATTTGAACGTGAAAAAGTGTATGCTTACCGATTAAAATTTCTTTTTCCAAAATTATTTCTATACATATCAGGATTTCTTCCATAATTTTGTCCATAACCTAGATATAAGAAATTTTTTTTTTAAATGTGAGAATATTATTTTACACAGTTATCAATAACAGTTACATACAGATAGATAGCAACAAGAATATACAACTTTTTTTCTGCATGTTTCTTAATTCCCCCCCACCTCGAATCCACTGTAGCAGAATTTTTTCGGGCTTTTTGCGACAAACTTCGCTAGCACCAATATTTTGCTTTAAGATACTTTTAATTATAACAATTGCTAATTTAAAGTAACAGAAACGTTGTGCTTACTGAAGAAAGTATAGAATAAAAATGCATAAAAATTTTAATTGTAAAAGTTATATATTTAAAATTTCAACATTACAAGCGATATTCTAGCGTTTTGTAAGCGGAAAGATGAACTAATTATCTCCTCTTTCGAATTTTGTAAATCATTACATAAATTTAAATTCGCAAATAAATTAAACAAATTAAAATTCGTACATGAATTAAAAATTGTAAAATCTGTGCAGAAACTCCCAAAATGAAGATCACGAATCAAGCGAATAGGATTCTTTAAAGATAAAAAAATTTAAGAAAGAACATCATTTCTAGAGCGAATAATTTTTTAAACTTTCGTAATATCTGTATTTTTTATTTTATATTAATTCGAATTTCTAGCTGAAGTCAGTCATTACTGTTTTTTTTTTTAAAAAAAAACTCTCAAGTAAGAATCGAAAAATCATGATTATTTCCTTCCTCTCAAATGCGTAAAAAAAAAAATTTGCAGAATTTTTTTTTTTTTTTCTTTCCTCGAAAAATAATGTAGANAAAAAAAAAAATTTTGCAGAAAATTCGCCCCCCCCCTCGAAAAAATAATGTAGAAAGGAAAACAAAAATGTTCCCCTTCCCTATGCATCACAAAATGTAGTTTCTCAATTACATAGAAATATGAAAATTGATGTTTATATTACTAACAAGTGAATAAGAAATACGATATTGGGTTTTAAAAGCGTGTCAGTATAAAACACGATATTGGATTTTTAATGTGCATGTACAGGAATATGATTTTTAAATTGCGTGATTAAGAAATGCAATATCAGCAGATTCCGGCGCAGTTTCAAATACAAAATGGCGAAAGTCTGCTAAACCAAAAGAATCACATTGGTGAAAGAATCATATGTATGTAAACTTCTCATCAATGGGATTTAGCAAAAGTTTCAAGATTTCATGGGATCATAAGATTTCGATTTACGGAGCAAAGCGAACCTATGATCTCAAATTCTGCGATATTTGTGGGGAAAATCTCACGCCCTGCTTCTAGTTTTTAGATCCATCCCTGGGTTGAAAGAAATCACTATAAGGAGTGAAGGTGCTAGAATACCGAAAAGTCGGAACATTTTCACGTAAAATCGTATTTGCTGAGATAAAAAATCCCACAGGGTGCGTAGCCAAATCTTTGAATCAAAAATAAGCACTTTTTAAAAACTTTTCAAGCACTTTACAAAAGTTTTCAAGCACTCAAAAAATTTATATTCAATCAATATTATTGAAAAACAAAAACTTTTTATAAACAGTTTTAGCGTTAAAAAAAAACCAAAAAGAAACGGGCGTAAATCGAAACAATCAGTACTTTCCCACATCACCGAGTGAATTCAACTTGACCCTGAACTCAGAACAAAAGTACCCTTACCCCCTACG